CGCCCGCCGGGCGGGAGGGCAGCGGCAGCGGCAGCGGGGCTTGGCCGGGCTGCAGACGCGGGGCAAGTGCCCGGGTCCCGGGGCCGGTCTGCCCGGTCCCCTCTTGTGGGTGTTGAGGAGCTGCCCGGCACGCGGCGCTGGGGGGGAAGACTGCACGCGGGCGGGAGCCGTGTGTGGAGGGGGAGAGTACCAGAGCGGCCTGTGGGCTGGGATTGTCCCGGGGGTGCACAGGGCCCAGCGCGCCCTCCCCTCCGGGGAGTTGGTGGCGGGTCCGAGCGGGCTCCCGCGCACCCCGGCAGCCGGGCACACTTCTAGATGAGCGCCCTGCGTGCGCTTGCAGCCGTGCCACTGAGCCCAGCAGCCCGCCGACTTTTGAGAGACCGGGTCTAATGCGTGTTGCTCTGGAGTATTTCAGAAGCCCTGGTCCATGTGTGCTAGGAGTGGATTGAAAACGTGGAGCAAACACAAAATGGGATGGATTTAGGTGATCTCAGCCCATCCCTTGTTTCATCCTCCGACTGCAGCTCCCGAGACATCGCCTGGGCTGATAAGTTCTGTGCTTCTGCAGCACCTTCTCCCTGAGGATTTCCGAGTGCTTTGCCAAGTATCATTGTGCTTGTGGGGAACGTGAGGCGCAGAAGGGAGGAAGGACCCATGCGAGGCAGCAGCGGGACGTCGCCGGCTGGGAATGGAACCAGGGTGTCCTGACTCCCAAAAGGACGCCGCCAGTCCTCCCCGCAGCGGCAGGATTGGACTCGTGCGGGAGGTGGCAAAGTGAGGTGAGGAACAGGAAAGGGAAGGCGGTGGCTCATTTGTGAAGTCAGAGCCATCCGTTCCCCAGGCCTTGCTAGGCAGCGCTCTGGTTTTGTTTACTTGGAGTTCCTCAATTAAATTAAGAACAGCATGCTGTGGTGCAGGCTGCCCCCATGGGGAGTGATTTATCTCCAGTATGCAGCAAGCCTGGCGTCCTGACACAGGCCTGTGCATCTTCTGGGACAGCCCAGGAATATCTGCTCATTTGGGCTGTTAGGAGCACAGTTCAAGTTGCTGCTCTCCTGGGGCCTGAGCAGCCCCTGTGAGACTGGCTGGCTCCCCTGCTATGGCTGGCACAGTTGCACCTTGCACTGCTGTAGAGGACATCCACACAAGGCCTTGATCACAGATCAAATACAGCCTGGTCTTACAGAAGTGTGCCGTGCTTCAGGTTTTCTTACTCAATTCTAAAGTTCCTCATGGGAGAAAATAGCTGGGATTTGACTGGAATGAGTATAAAAGAGGAGCTTTTATCGTTGTGGCAGCTGGACACAGATTTTCCAGGGTTCTTTGGGTCTCCTTCTCCTCAGCTGGCTGACACAGCCTATCCACACTTAAATCATCACTCTTACTTCATTGTCATAGTTTCATAGTTTCTAGGGTCGGAAGGGACCTGAGCAGATCATCTAGTCCGCCCCCTGCCATGGCAGGAAGAAGTGCTCTGTAAAATGGCTCCAAAACTTGTCTGATGGACAGGGAGCAAGGGATAAGAAAGGGCTCTGCAGGTCACAGAGTGAAGCATCTGACCTGCAGGGGGCATCATTGGTCTCATTATATTTTCACCATCATTTCTGCGAGCGGGATATCATGCTCAGTGCTGTACAAAATCCAGAGGAAAATGTCAATTAGGCCTGGGGAGCCTAATTGACACAGGGCTAATGGGTTGGAAGAAGTAGGGAAAAGCTTGCTAATTACTCTTGTAGGCACTGGAGGATTAAGGTCTTCAGGAAATTGGGTAGGAATGAAAGCAGTGAGCAGTGCAGGCGTGTGTGTGTGTGCGCCTGTGCAAGTGTGAGAGAGATGTTGGGGAGGGGCTTGGTGGTAGATACAGGCTTGGTGTGAGCTTGCCAAGGGGCAGGAAGGACTATTTCCTCCTACCTTGTGACACTGGAAGAGGGGGCAGTTTGGAGTAATAGATGAAGACTTGCTTAACCCTGTTTCTGAGCAGTGCTATCAAGGGTGGAAGGGCTCTTAGGAAAGGAGAGGACTGGATGCACATGTCCTGGTGCAGCTGACGGATGGAGCAGGTTCTAATACGGCCCACCAGGTGACTGGATCTGGCCTGTGGCACTCTTCAGAGGGCCATGCCCTGCCCACTCGCACTGGGGCAGCCTGTGCTGGGCTTCTGCTGGCCTGGGCCCTGCCCAGTGCGCAGCTTCTGGCAGGGCTGTTGTCAGTGCAGCTGCAGTTTGGTTCTGCTCTGCACCCCCTTGCCTCCAGTGACAGCTCCTGCTTCTGTTCTTGCCCCGACACACTGTGCTGTGCCATGCTACTCTGGGCAAGCAGTTTCAGCTGGGTGGCTTTTACCCCAGTGCATAGGGCTCCGACTTCAGCTCCCAGCACACCCACTGGAGTGGCACACAGCATGGTGCAGCAGGAGCAGGAGGAGGAGCTGCTGCTGGAGGCAGGGGACCCAGAGCAGCACCCGGATGGCTGCAGCTACACTGGAAACAGCTTGCTGGAAGCTGCTTCTGTCCTTGCTGTGCTGTGCCACATCGTTCTGGGTGGGTGGGTGAGCAGCTTCAGCCAGGTGGCTCCTGCCCTAGTGCTGGGGCTCCAGCTTCAGCTCCCTGGAGTTGGAGCCCTGTGTACTGGGGCAGGAGCCCAGCTGAAGCTGCTCACCCAGACTGGCGCAGAGCTGCAGGGGCAAGATCAGGAGCAGGAGCCACCACTGGAGGTGGGGGGTGCAGAGCAGCAATGGCTGGGCTGTAGGCACTGCTGCGAGCATGGCATGGGCTGTCCCGGTGTGAATGGGCAGGGCTTGGCCCCAAGTAGAGCGCTGTAAGGGTAGCGTCGACTGCACTGTCTGGGTGAGGCCTGGTGCATGTGCCTTCCCCCACCCCCTGCCTCTCCTCACCCACAGCAGGCTCCCAGGACCTAGTGTCCAGGCAGCCCCCACACACCAGAGGCCATGCGATCCCAGCCTCCCCTGCCCTTCCCACTCCCTGCCCACCCATAGGGAGTTTTGGTGAGTTGTTGCTGGGGGAGGGGGGCAGGAGGAGTGCTGATTTGGCCTGTGATAGTTCATCAGAACTCCTTATGGGCCCTTGGGCCAAAATTATTGCCCACCTGTGCTCTACAAGGACAGTGTCAGGCTCTGCTGCTGCCTACCAGAGTGCCTCATGCAGGTGAGTGTGAAGAGGCAGACAAGGCAAGTGGCTTCCCAAGGTCACTCAGTAAAACGGGGGGGCCAGAACTAGAGGGATGCAGTGACATGAGCCCTGTTCAGCAAGCACCTTGCACTTGGCATTCCTCTCCCAGCAGTGGGTGAACATGGCTTAGCTTTGGTGCCCTCCATTCCCCTGAGGGCCAAGGCATAGTCTACTTCTGCTGACCTTGGCTCCCAAGCACCTTGCCTCCTTTCCTGCAGGGGCAGATCTTGGAACAGACCAGTGTCTTTTGATCTTGAGTCTTTGCCTCGGCATCTTGCCCTGTTTTGAAGGTTGGGGCTGAGGATTCCCCCTTCCTAACTGTGCAGCAGGCTCTTGCATTGGAGGAGAGCTTTGTACCAGACCATAGCTTTATCTTGGCTTGATTCTTACTGAGCCCTTGCTCACATCTAGATTCTGCCAGTTCCTTGTACCTCCCTTATCCTTGTCGCAGTGCCCCTGCGTGTTTGTTCATGCTGCTGTCTGTTGGGAGAGCCCAGCTCCCTTTGCCCTCACTGTAAGCCGCCCCTCTCTCGTTCTCTCTGTTCCGATGCTTACAAGCAAACAAATAGCAGATGCATGCAGGGTCCCAGAGTCAGGGGACACAAGTCTTCCTGCCTACGTGGTGTGAGAGAGCCTCTACTGCACTCTGCATAGTACCATGTATGTTTAACCAGGGCAGGAGAGGGAGATAAGTGGGACAAAAACTCCAGTTGGGTGGAGCGGTGAGGAATCACTCCGGGCAGCTGAACACACAGGCCAGCCAGACGGGGAGCTGGGGCCCCCAGGGAAAGTGGTGGATCCCTGGAAGCTAGAGGTGGAGTTGGCCACTGCCAAGCATTTTGTTTAGTCTAGATTTGGAGGGGCTAGTCCCCCTAGGAGCTGGGCATGGAGGGAATGGCCAGATGTTCTGTGAAGCTGAGTTGTTCATCTGGGTCTCGCAGTCCATTTTGGGGCTCTCTAATGGGGGTGCAGCTGTGTGCACCACAGGCCCTGGCAGGGGCTTGGGAACAGATGGAAAGTGAACATAGTAGTTTGAGGTAAACTGAATGGAGCAGAGGGGCTTAGTGAGTGTAGGGACAAATGGATGTGGGAAGCAGGGTGGCCTCTTAAGGGTGGTTGGTGATACTTGCACTCCCAAAAGGCAAGCTTGTCCAGATTTAAGCTGACAGTGCTCTTGGAGGCCTGATAGGGTCCTCTCCCAACACAAACATGAAGCTCTGCCTTAGCGGAGTGCTTTTTATATTAAACTTTCCATAATGGTTCTCCCACTGCAAGTGATTCACGGAATAGTTTGAGCTGGGGTACGCTCCCCTCTGGGTGACCAGGCCCTTCTCCAAGCTCACAGTGCCCTTTCCCTTAGGAGAGTGAGAAAGCCAGGCCTGGTGAAAGGCGTCAGACTCCTGGCTCTGATGGACTGAGGGAATGGGATGAGGAGGAACAACAAGTTTGAAAGCAGAGAGCCCCGAGGTGCTGGCATTTGGGAGCAGCCAGAGCTGCAACAATCGCTTGCAGTCCTTAGCAGTGTGGGGACAGGGCAGTGTAGGACACTTTTGTTATTACTCTAAGCACCTCTTTCTGCAACTGCTGGAGCTATGGGGTTGGCAGCAATAGAAATGTCCCCTCACTGATCCCTGTAGGCTTGTGGGCAAGATCTGCGGTCTGCCATGGTCTGTCTTTGATTAGCCCCAGCATCTTTTGTGGTGGGATCTGACTAGAACAGGGGTTGGCAGCCCCTAGCATGCATGCCAGAGCATGGCACGCAATGGTATTTTTCTTACCCCGTGTGCCTTGTGGTAGATGGTTAGGAAGGGGCTGGGGCTGGGGCTGGGGCTGCGCTGCCACAGCAAGGATCAGGCCTCTTGTACCTCCCCCACAATCTGCCCGGAGGCACATGTGCACCTGCTGCCAGCACTGAACTGGGTCGGGGCTCTGCAAACCTTGGTGCAGAAGCTTGCAGCCTCCTGGCTGCCTGCCGCAGCCAGCCTGGGCAGGCCCTTGCTGTCTGCCATGGAGCCCGGGCTGCTCTCAGTGGGGAGCGGGGAGGTTGCAAACTACTTCACTGAGGTCTGCAGAGTCCCAGCCTGGCTTGGTGCTGGCAATGGGTTCATGTGTCCCTCCAGACACATGGTGGGGGAGGGGCTGGGGCTGCATTGACCCAACTAAATTTGAGCTCCTCGTGGCTCCCCCACTGTCTGCCCCTGGCAAACCAACTTCTTGCAAGTTGAGGTTGAAGTGTGTGTTTTGGTGCTCTGTCCAAAAACATTGCCGGCCCCAGGACTAGAACGAGAATGCTGCTCATGGTGCAGTGCACACTCTTCTCAGTTGCTGTCTGGCTGTGGTTTTCTAGTTGAAGCTAAGCCTCTTCCTGCTTGGTAGTGGCAACAGCCTTGGGCTTTGCATGCAACCACTCTGTCCTCACTGAGGGCAGCAAACTTGCCCCTGTAGTCAGCCTGCCCTCGTGGGGTTCAAGCAGACTGCATCATAGGAGCTCACCTGCACTCAGGCAGAAAGGGACAAGCATGCACGCTGCCTTCCATGGTGAGGTGGGACCTGCTCCCATACAAAACAAACTGAGGAAAACAACTGATGTGCTT